ATAAAAAAAAATATTGAAAAAAAAACGAGAGAGAACAAACAAACACATTCTTTCTTTGGCCAGCCATAACAAAAATGATTATTATCTGCATCAAGAAGCATCCAAAGCGAATAAGCTTATAGACCCTATACTAGAAGAAGAAATAATAATAGAATAATAAAAACAAGAACATACTGACAAAAATTTAATACACGAGGAAATAGTTTCTTTGACAAGTGTATCATTTCAAATTTGATTTTATAACACTGCCGCCCACCAGTCATTTTACAGAAACACAAAATACAGTGTCAGAGAGATGGAGCCAACAGCCCTAATATTTTTTTCTAGATCATATACCTACACGCCCCTGTACTTCCGCGACAAAGCCAAGGACACGTTAAGGCAACCCGTAGGCATAAAGCCTTTAAAGGGATAGTGATGTTTTAAACATATTTTTTTCACATTTTTCTTATGATATATATATTTTTTATGTCCTGCGTTTTTTTGTTTTTTTTTTTGGTCTGTCCAACTAACCATCGTCTCCTGAAAAACAGAAGGTTAAGTTCCACGTTAACCGTCCATTCCTTACTGCATTAGTGGTTTCTCTTACTATGACTGGCTTTCAGCAATGCCGCTAATATACAAAAAGGAGAAAGGGAAGAAAAACGGAGATGGAGTGAGAGAAAGAAAGAAAAAAGAAAAATGGGATAACGTGGGGAGAAAATTAGGTAAAAATAGGAAGAAAAAATAAAAAAAAGGAAGGGGAAGAGGTAACAGAAACAATAACATAAGGAAAAGGTGTATTTACAAGGAAAAGGGTGAAAGAGGGAGAGGAAAGGGAGATTAAAAAAAAGGAAGGGTAGCATATCTCAGCCATGTAAGAATTAAAAATCATTGCTAAGTACATTTGATGAAAATAATCACTTCTATCCTCGTGAATTACAATATACCTAAAAAAAGATCAAATTCCAAATATCAAATATGCTTAAACCATAAACCTTATAGCAGATGAGCTCCAACAGTGGGCGAGGAGCATTAACACTTATCACAAATGACTGATAAAAGATTTATACACCTAAATAAGTTGGGGGGGGGGGGTAGTCTAACACGAGACAAACCCTTAGTCATCATCGGCAGTTAACTGTGATCTAGAGGGATGTAAATAAAAAAAAAAGAAAATAAACCAAGAAAAAAAAAGAAAATAAATATCACCTACAGTTAACAGAGTACAGCCTTACGATGACTTAAATGACTCCTATAAGATATTATCACTTTTCATTCACTTTTTTTCTAATTAATCTCTCTTAAAATTACTAATAAAAACCAACTCTTCAACCTGAGTCCATCGAATTCACAATTCAAATTCAAATTGAGAGAACAAAAAAGGAAAAGATCCAAATGAACACACAATAATACCTTCTCTCTGTAAAAATCATTTTCTTGTTTTTTTTCAGTAAAATAAAAAGTCCTCTCTTTCTTTCTTTCAGGTCATTGTAAAAATTCATATAGCACCTAAACACCAGTACCACAATCAGCCTTTCCAAAAATCACCATATACAGTATAGATAGATGGTAGCACCAGGTTTTTTTTTTTTTTTGTCCGTACTTGGGTAGTCAGGTATAATAAACGTCATTGTAGTGTGTGTGTGGCTGACAGATCTTCAGACATGCGTTCGTATATTCATATCAATATCATCTTGTGTGTGTGTGTGTGTTTATTTCCACACGAAATTGTCCAACTCCTCTAGACACACACACGCTTATATGTCCATTTACATAGGAAAAGAGAAAGAGAGAAATAAGACGAAAGTGTGAAGAGCGAGCGAGAAAAAAAGTTAAAGCGTAAGACAGAGTTCCATTTCTAACGAGTTGAAGACATATCAGTCACAGCCAAGGGGATTAAAAAGGTAATTTTACTACATTAAGCATTTCCTTGACTATATATAACAACAAACAGCGTTTACATCCTTAACCTGGGCGAAAAAAATATTATTCAAAAAATAAAAGAGATGAAGCTTTGTTGACAGGATCCTTCATCACCAATCGAGAACGGCGGGCACTTACATAAGGAACTTTTTGAACCATTACATCACCATTAAAATATCATATATATATATTTCAATCAGTAAAAAAAATCAACAACTTTACCATGTGCTTTCAATTCACAAAACTGAATAAACCTAAACGAAAAACAAACAAACAACATAAAACATTTTTTTTCTCTTCCAGTTTCACTAAACTAATCATGTTGCATCTGTTAGCTGAACATTAGAATATATATATATTTATTTATTTATTCATATATTTACCTATATATATATTTACGCAGTTTTCCTTCACTTAAAACAGGTACGTTTTACCTACGATAAAACACAATCGGATATTTTAAAACACCTCGGTAATCAATATCAGGAGTTTGTGTGTGAGTCGCATTTTGGTTTGGGAACGAGAGGTTGCGTGTCTATCACTAAGAGTCGGATCCCGCAGGAGGAAGACGAGAACGCCCCGCGCCCTCAGAGTTGTCGAGGAGGAGTAGGAGTAGGAGAACGAGCATCCGAAGAGAGGGGAGAGACGGGACCTTCGAAGGACGACCTCGGACAGGCGATCTTAGAATGGCGGAGGTCCGTTGGGGTATCTGAGCATCGGGTCGAGGCTCCGGGCGAAGTTGTTGGCCATGTTGCAGGCGTAGTCGTCCTCAGAGGTGGGCACGAGAGACGCCACCCCAAGCATGAGCAACATCAAGGCCTGGATAGGAAGGGCGGCTCGCATCACACGCCCGAAGAACCTGTAGGAGCGTCTCACTACGCCTTCGTCGCCGCCCTCCGCGCCGTAACCGTCACTGCGGAGAGGAAGGTGAGAGGGAAATTGTAGCTGTTGTTATCACTATATTCTAAGAGGGGGCTGGAGTCTTTTAATGCTTTAGATAATAGCGTGATCTCTTTCCCTGTCATTTCTAAAATTTGATTACAGTTTATGGTTTCTTAACCTTATCACTTTTATTATACTTGGTGTGGCAGTTTACCTATGCATTCAAGTGAACAGAATACGACGCTTCAGCGAAAAAAATGAAGCAACTAAAGTCAAACAGAAAGTGAACCTGAAATTTTATCAGAAATAAAAATAAAAATAGGAAAACTAAATCTACCAAAAATCTACTGAACCAAAATGAGGAAGAATGCGCTAAGAACTCAAGAAAACCGAAGGTGCTCGACATGTTCCCACGGCCGAGTTGTACGTACTGCACATCGGAATGGAAGCTGGCAGTCAGGGAGCTTGGTGAAGTTGGCCGCGAGAAAGAGAACTCGGCAGACTCGTACAGCTGTAAATAAAAGACAGTGTGCATTTGAGGTGCTACGTGCAGTGGTGCAGTTTCCTACGGTCGGATTTCATGCAACTTCTGACAATGATATAAAATGAACACATATGCCCAAGTTCCGTGTTGGGAACGTCAGTTCGGCCCTACTCACCCCCGACGACGCCAGGGACGCCAGCGAGCTGGTAAAGTCCTGGCCCAGAAGCTGCGACAGCTGGGTAAGCTGTTGCGAGCACAGCTGGAGCAGCAGCTGCAGGCGGCGCGAGAGGAGCGCCAGGCGCTCGCGCACGGCCGCGCACTGGTCGTCATGCTGCGTGGTGAGCAGGTGCTGCGCCGCCTCGTGCAGAGACGCGACGCGCGGCTCGCACCGCTCGACCTCAGCCCGCACGTCCAGAACGCGGCCAGCGCGCTCGCGCAGGGCGGCCTCCTCCGTCTCCTCCTCCGCCGCCATCTTGTGCAGGCTCTCCTCGGTGGTGTCCGTCCAGGCGAGCAGGTCTGAGATGGTGGAATGGAACTCGGCGTTGCCCATGAGCGCCGTCTGCAGCTTGGCCTGCCACACGGATGCAGCAGCGCACACGGCCTCCCAGCGCTGGTTGGCCGCGGTGAGGCGGTCCCGCACGCGCGTGGCACGGCGCTCGTCGCGGGTATGCTCGGCCAGGTGCTTGCCGATGATGTTCAGCGACATGATCACCGACTTGTGGCCGTCCAGGTCCATCAGGAACTCCTGCAAGACAAACAGCAGTCACATCCCGCGCTGATCGAGGGTGAAACCGGTTATACTCAGCGATATGAACAGCAATGTCACACGAAACTTACCTGCTGCAAACCAAGGTCTGTATACTATTTAGACCTTGATAAAAAAAAAAAAAAATGAAACAAAATGAGGAAGAATGCGCTAAGAACTCAAGAAAACCGAAGTGCTCGACATGTTCCCACGGCCGAGTTGTACGTACTGCACATCGGAATGGAAGCTGGCAGTCAGGGAGCTTGGTGAAGTTGGCCGCGAGAAAGAGAACTCGGCAGACTCGTACAGCTGTAAATAAAAGACAGTGTGCATTGAGGTGCTACGTGCAGTGGTGCAGTTTCCTACGGTCGGATTTCATGCAACTTCTGACAATGATATAAAATGAACACATATGCCCAAGTTCCGTGTTGGGAACGTCAGTTCGGCCCTACTCACCCCCGACGACGCCAGGGACGCCAGCGAGCTGGTAAAGTCCTGGCCCAGAAGCTGCGACAGCTGGGTAAGCTGTTGCGAGCACAGCTGGAGCAGCAGCTGCAGGCGGCGCGAGAGGAGCGCCAGGCGCTCGCGCACGGCCGCGCACTGGTCGTCATGCTGCGTGGTGAGCAGGTGCTGCGCCGCCTCGTGCAGAGACGCGACGCGCGGCTCGCACCGCTCGACCTCAGCCCGCACGTCCAGAACGCGGCCAGCGCGCTCGCGCAGGGCGGCCTCCTCCGTCTCCTCCTCCGCCGCCATCTTGTGCAGGCTCTCCTCGGTGGTGTCCGTCCAGGCGAGCAGGTCTGAGATGGTGGAATGGAACTCGGCGTTGCCCATGAGCGCCGTCTGCAGCTTGGCCTGCCACACGGACGCAGCAGCGCACACGGCCTCCCAGCGCTGGTTGGCCGCGGTGAGGCGGTCCCGCACGCGCGTGGCACGGCGCTCGTCGCGGGTATGCTCGGCCAGGTGCTTGCCGATGATGTTCAGCGACATGATCACCGACTTGTGGCCGTCCAGGTCCATCAGGAACTCCTGCAAGACAAACAGCAGTCACATCCCGCGCTGATCGAGGGTGAAACCGGTTATACTCAGCGATATGAACAGCAATGTCACACGAAACTTACCTGCTGCAAACCAAGGTCTGTATACTATCTAGACCTTGATAAAAAAAACCTAGCCCGAGAACAACACTAAGCCATGACTACGCCTGAAAAAAACTATTCAACGCTATTCCACCCCATCCCGGCATTTGTATAGTGTAACCTACCCTGTGGTCCTGGGCGACCTCTTCCAGCTGCTCCATGGGCGTGGGCGGGCTGTGCTGCGTGGTCTGCGTGGCTTCGGCGTGGGTGAGCCATTGTTCTAGGCGCCACATGTCGTTCTCGAACTGCTGCCAATTGCGTCTGCAACACAGCGGGCACGTCAGGGAAGACGTCTCGCTGTAAGCAAACACATGCGCATGCGTGGTCAGCTACGGCTACTGCAGGATCCGCGTTGCTTACCAGGGTTACCTCACACCCAAGGCTAGCGGCAGGACGGGGAGGCTCCCCGCCCCGCCTTCCTACGCTACTGGAGGGCTACGGGTCTACCATTTACATTGTGTAAGTGTGTGTGTGTGTGTGTGTGTGTGTGTGTGTGTGTGTGTGTGTGTGTGTGTGTGTGTGTGTGTGTGTGTGTGTATGTGTGTGAATACGCGTATGCGCATACGCCAACGCGTTAACATATACATGTATGTATATACAAAACATAAATGCAAATACTGAACTCTTAAGAGGATATTTCAGTGTAGATGGAATTTGAATCGCCGTCTTGACTTGGCGCTTCTCTGCCCAGTATTTTAAGTTTGGGAAATGCATCGTGACGTGGACACGTCAATCACACTAAGCACAAATACTAAATACAGTGATTTGGTCATGGTAAGACGGGGTAATTTAGCGGATGTGAAGTATCATAAAATACAATGGTAAATTATGTAGATAATCGAATAAAGGTTTATTTCTTTAAATAAACACTTATGTTTTTTTTCATTTTTCTCTTACTTAACATACTACTTATATCCTAAATCACACAAAATTAGCAATAGGTATATACTATAATTCTTGCTTATATATTAAATCACTCTTATTTACACACTAGCCAAAACATGTATATCTATAAAACACATAAATCAAAACTACTAAGGAACAATTAGCTCCACTGTTCTAATTCCATTGAATTCGCTGGACACTGTCCAGCCTTATTTATAATAAATGACTAGCACACATTCTATATCACAACTATGTTCTGTAACACACAAGACTACAATAATTATCACACAAAGACTACAAAAAATCACACAAGACTACAATCATCATTATCTATTTTTTTTTACTTTTACTACTTCATGCCATTAAACTCCTCATGAAAGCAGTTTCGATCAAACTGTAGGACACAAGCAAAGCCTTCAAGCTTGCTTTCAGCCACACAAAATAATCGGTTAAATGATTCTAGTTTTGATTCATAAGAAGAGATGTTGGAAGAGGGAGTCAAGATACAAGTGTCACAATCCAAGAGGTTATTTAACGTAACAAAACAAAATAAAGAAAAAAGAGCATTTTCCATGAACTGCAAGAAAGAGCATCCTCAAGAGCACATATATTCATCAGCGTTAAATTGAGACACGTATTACTGCACTGGTTAATACCATAGACATGGTCGAGAGATGAATATTAGAAAAGAATATTACCTATTCTCCTTCAGCCTCTGTTGCTTGGCTTGCGAGAGGAGTTCGAGTTGGGTGAACTCCTCCAGGACGAGTTCGATCTCCGGGTGCAGTTCCCTGGCCTCGGCGTCGTCGCCCGTGTGCTGCTTCAGGGAACTCAGGAGGTCTACGGAAGACCGGCATCCGGCCAACTGCTTGGACTGAGGGAACAGGAACGGTTGGGGTACATTTTATTTTATAATGAAGTATAAATAATAAGCATGCAGCTGATGCAACGATATGAATGATCAAAGTAAATTTCCAATATTTCTTCAATTCGTAAAATATACATAACATGGGAGTTGTACTTACGAAGGAGTAATACGTCTTGTCGACCTCAGCTCCCTGCGGGGTGGGGCACTTGAGCGATTCCTCCAACTGCCTCAGCAGTCTCTTGCTCTCCTCCAGCGCCGCCTTCATCTCCATCGCCAGAGACCTTCCGCCGACGGCCCCGATGAGCGAGACGTCCGTGGTGGTGAAGGTCGTCTCCAGGTTGACGTCAGCGGCCAAAGGAACCCGATAGTCGTCCTCGCCTTCAAGCTCCTGCTGGTCCCCGAGCGAGCGCTCCTCGGACAGCCTGGTCGCAGAAGCGTTGGTGATCTGAGTGGTAATCTCCACGTCGATGGCGTCCTGCAGGCTCAAGAGGCGTCTGTGTAGGTGTTTCCTAATGATCCAGTACTCCTCGAGGCTCTCCTCGATCATCAGACAGTCTGTGTAGCAACTTCGTTGGTAGAGGTACGAGATCATAGCATCGAAGTTCCTGAGGTCCTCCTCGTGCCTCTCGTACTCGGCCACGAGCTCCAGCAGGGACTTTTTCTTTTGTTCAAGGTCCGAGTGCATCTGGTTGTCGTACTCAGACACCTTGAGGTCGAAGTCGTTCAGCCAGCCCAGGAGGCTCTCTCTCGTGCTGATGAACTCTTCGTAAATCCTGCCGCTGTACCTCAAACGTCGCAGGATGACAGTGATGTGGTAGTTGAGAGTGTGGAATCTGGCATTTGAGGTCTTGACCTTCGTGCGGATCTCGTTCTCCTGGTCAAGCCTGTTCTCTCTGCCGTAAGGGCGCGCCAAGACACGGTACTTTTGGTTGAGCTGTTCATACTGCAGCGTCTGGTCGTGAATGAGGGGCTGCAGCTCGTGTACCTGGGCGATCCGCTCCTCCAGGCTGGCGTAAGTCACTATCGTCGAGGAGGCAGTGATGTTGCTCATCCTCGACTCCATGCTGGTCAGCCACGTCTCAAAGGCGGTGTTCACAGCTATCAGCTCTTGCCACATTTTCCAAGTCTTCTGAATGAATACTTTCCTCTCAGCAGATCGGGTACAAATATCGCCCCATCTCCTCTCCAGATTATGGTGGGCTTCCTGCAGCGAGTCTGTGTCGCCATTGGCGTCGAACTCAGTGCAGTCGCGAATGACCATATCGCAGAGATTCAGGACGGAGGATATCGTTCCGCTCTGCTTCTCAATCTCCTTGCGCACCTCCTCCTCCGCCTCGAGTAGGCGGTCGATTTCCTTCTTGGAGCTGTTCTGGAACACCACGGGACTTGAGAGCTTCTTCTCGATCAGGAAGAGCCACTCCTTCAACTCGGCGAGAGTGACTTCAGCCTTGTTAATGGTCGTGACGATGTCCTGCAGCTTCTGCTTCCTGTTGGTGCACTTGTCATGGATGTGCTTCCAGGTGGCCTCGATGTTCTGCATCTTGTTCTTGAGGTCGGAGGCCTGGTCCTCGGTGCTGCAGGAGAGGAGCTCCTCGCCCTCCGAGATCAACCACAACTTCTCGATGCTCTTCGTGTTGATGTCCTCCTGGTAGTCGTGTTCAAGCTTCCTGATAAGGGTGTCGATGTACTGCTCGGAACCGCCGTCGATCTTGGCCTCCATGTCCTTGGCCCACGCGAGGAACTGCTGGTACCGGGTGTCGTACAGCTGCCACAGCTCCAGCTTATCCTCCAGGGTGCTGATCCTCAGCCTGTACTGGTGGAGTAGCTCGGCCTGCAGCTGCGTCACCCTCCACATGCGCTGGGTGACCAGGCGGAGGTCGGACGGGGTCAGGGAATCCACCATTTCCTCCCTCGTGGTCCTAAGCAGAGACAGGTCGCCGCTAAGGGCCTCAAGGGATGCTGTTGTCTCATTGTATTTCTTGATGGTTTCCTGCACACTGCTGAAGTCCGAGGGCAGATCGGCCGACAGGCCAGCCTGCATCTCACTCAAGATGGTGTGCAGTTTGGCATAGTTCTCCTCGTAGCGCCGCCACAGGTCGGAGCTGCGGCTCAGGTAGCCGAGCCAGGTCTCCACGCCGGCTCGCATGTTGGTCACGCGCTGCTGCAGAGACGCCAGCTCGGCCTTGAGGATCGAGTGGATGCTCGGGTCGCATGACGCCACCAGCTGCTGGCACAGCTTGGCCACGTCCTCTACCTGCTCCTCGCCACGGGTCAGCTGCTCAAGCAAAGACTGCAGGCGACTGATCACCTTGTCGAGACGTCGCCGGGCAACCTGGCGCAGCTGCAGCCCCTGCTTCTCCTGCTCGAGGGCAAGGATCCAGGTCTGCAGTTGAGCCACCTTGACCCGGTACGTCTCCCAGGTGGTGATGGTCCTCAGGAGCACCTGCTCGCGTTCCGTCACGGTGGTCAGGACGGTCTTGTGGCGCAGGATAAGCTCTCGCAGGCGGCCCTGCAGATCCTTGATTCTGGGTGGCGCGTCCTCCTGCTGCGCCTGCTCCTGGAGCGTGGTGAGTACGTTGGTTTGCGTGGTGAGGATGGAGCGGTGCACCTGGCACAGGCGGGAGGCCTCGTGCAGGCCCTCGCGCGAGGCCGGCGCCGGCGCCGACATCTCGGCCTCCACACTCTCCACGTACTGGCGCCAGGTGGTGAGCGCGGCAGCCAGCTGCTCGTCGTCGCCGCCAAGACCCGCCACCACCTGTTCGTAGCGCGTGTGAGTATCTCGCACGGCTGTCTGCCAGGCCTTCACCACCTGCGCGGGCCCCGCCTCCAGCATGGGCCCGCCCGACGTGCCCAGCGCGACCAGCTGGTCTTTCAGCTGGGTGGCGCGCACGGCAGCCTCATCGACGGGCGGCTCGGGCAGGGCCAGCAGAGTGTGCGCCCCGTTAATACCCTCCTCCAGCTGCTTGAGGGCCTGCTCCTGTTTCTGCTGCTGTTCCTGGTCCGCCTGCAGGCTTAGGTTGTTGCTGAGCTGCGTGATGGCCTCCGTCAGGTTGGTGATTCTGAAGCCGAGGCGTTCGACCTCAGCCACAAGCGGGGTGTCGCGAGCGGCGTCCTCTGCCACGTGCAGCTGGATCTGTCGTGCCAGCTGCCGCAGCTCCGTCACGCGCTCACCCGACCACGCCGCCTCTCCCACCAGCACCTGCACGGACAAGGAGCGGCGTTGAAAAACACAGATACAAGGGAAAATGTCGAAGATATTTAATGAGCTGGTGTCAAGCAGAGATTACCTAGATTCACTGATTACATCCTGGATAAATAATAATGATGGATCGCCTTATCGTTTAAGATAAGAAAGAAATATAGAAATATAGAAAGAAATATAACAAATTCAACATAGGATAGATTGCTGATAACATTACACTGTGTGTGTGTGTGTGTGTGTGTTCGTGTGCCTTTAGTTATTGTGTGTGCATTTGCTGTTTTGTGTGTGTAAGTGTACATAAATGTCAGCAGTAGCAGACGTTTATATTCGCATACTCGCCCCCCCCCCTCAAAAAAAGAGAAAAAAAATCTGAAGATAAAAACGCAGATAAGAAAGGACATTTATTTGAAGGGCTTGTCGCCGGCAAGAACATGATTTCAACCCTATTTTTTAGCATTGCTTTATCGTACCTCATTCGCTTTTATTTGCTTCCTAAAAGCCGAAGGCGAACATAAACAAAAGGAGAAAAAGACCGAAGAAAATAATAACAATATCATCAACAACAACAATAATGAAATAATAATAATAACAGTAATACAAGAATAACCTTGACGCGAAGAGTGGGAGAAGGATAAGAGACTTATACTGAAGTAGGGCGAAGGAAGGTAAGATGGCTTTTGTTTGGCGATCTGAAGGAGAACCGAGGAATTGAAAGGCTGAAGTGCCTGTGGTAAATGCGAGAGAGAGAGAGGGGGAGGGAGGGAGAGGGAGAGGGAGAGGGAGGGAGAGGGAGGGAGAGGGAGGGAGAGAGAGGGAGAGAGGGGGGAGAGAGAGAGAGAGAGAGAGAGAGAGAGAGAGAGAGAGAGAGAGAGAGAGAGAGAGAGAGAGAGAGAGAGAGAGAGAGAGAGGAGAGGGAGAGAGAAACAGGTACACAGAAACACAATAATTACAACAAAAAGAATATAAAAATAGCAACACGTCACGCCCTATTCAATGAATACAAAGAAAACACACACTAGGAAGTGCGACAAGTAGGGGGGGGGGGGAGAAGAAGAAAAAAAAAATAGGAGGAGAAGGAGACGGAGAAGGAGAAGGAGGCGGAGAAGGAGGTGGGGGTGGAGGTGAGGGAGGTATTACAAGGAGAAGAAGATAAAAGAGGATAACTGAACGAGCAAAGCGAAAACAAATGAAAATTAAATTGAAAACGGAGAAAAACAAGACGCAAAAAAGGAAGAAGGTAAATGGAAGAAGACGAGAGATCAGGCGGGCTAAGACTTGAGTGTGAAAGAAAAAAGGAAAAAAAAGAAAGAAAGAAAAGAAGGCAGACACAGGAAGAGGATAAGACCGAGAAAGAGGAAGAGGAGGAGGGCGGAACAAACAGCGAGCGGAAGCACACGAGAACTCAGGAAGAAAATTAGAAGAAAAACAACGCGATCGGAGGGAGGAAGTGGGAAGTGACATCATCCACCAAAAGGGAAGGAGAAAGACAGGAATAAAAGAATCGACGAAGAGAAAAATACACATAGGGGATATAAAAGAATTAAAGACAATGAGAGAAAATGATAACGTAATTAGGTACAAACATATAAATATACAAAAAGGAAATGGAAATACGGATAATACTTTAGCGAGCGTAAATCCAACTTAGAAGAAAGGAGGGGACAGAAAGAGGGGATAAGAAGGGGTAAGAAGATCAGAGAGGGGAGGGAGAGGAAGGGGGAGGATGAGATATACACGAAGGGGCTACAAACGGAGGGGAATGTAGAAGGAATGTATGGGAGGAGAGGGGAGGGGAGGGGGGCTAAGGGGAAGGGAAAGGGAGAGGGAATAGGGGAAGGGGGGGGTAGGGGAAGGGGGGGTAGGGGAAGGGGGACTCAATACAGCGCTTATGGCACACGTGAAACCTTAATAAACTTTCGGCTAAACTGCAGTAATCCGTGTCCGTCTAAACATTAAGACCGGCGACGTCCGAACAAGAGAATGTCTTTCTAAATCAAAGCAAAGATCTAAAATCTTCTAACATAAAAAAATAATCCAAACCGAAGTGAAAATCCCTCACGTCAAAGTCAAAATCAAAATTCCTTTGACATCAAAATCTAATCTAAAATCGGAGTAAAAACAAAAACAAAAAAACCTCGCATTAAAGACAAGATCTAAATTCCTGTGACATCTACACTCCCGTCGCCATCGAGCCGCCAGAACACCTTTCAAAATCAAAGTCAAAATCTAAATCCCTGCCACAGCGAGATTATTATTTTTTTAACCGTGAATTTATGAGGTAACTGATACTTCGAGAATGACATCATCAACGTCATATAAAGCTGTAACTCTTGAGCTTTTATTATCGCGGAATTACGACCGAGGTAAATATTTTTTTCTTCGTAGTCTTTTCCGCGTTTTATAAGAATTCTTTTGATTTTTTTTTAATTATTTTTTTCTTTTCTGATATATAAAAAAATGTAAAGTTACGAATCAGTGTTAATGATAGTCTGTATGTACATAAGCATGGCAATTTATACTAATCCCGTTTTCTCTTACATTGCATATCATAAAAAGTTAAACAAATATTTACAATCGCCATAAAGTCATGCTTCTTCTCCATTTTCCTCCTCCTCCTCCTCCTCCTTCTTTATACTATTATTATCATTATGATCCTCCCTTTCCATCAAACTTCACAAGACAACCAACCGACGAGGTGACAGGCAAAGAAGCTCGAAAAGTGTGCCAAAGTGCTGCTCTGCTCAAGGGCCAGGCTCGCAGGCACCGGAAGCCAAAGCACAGAGGTCAGAGAGATTCTATTGATCTCCGATAAATCGTGTTAAATATGCAGTGGACATTCTGAATGCCAGTGGGGACGGGGGTAAGGAGGCAGGGGGGGAGGAAGGGAAGAAGGGTGTGGGGCAGGCGAGGGGAAGAGGGAGGGGCGAGGACTGTCTCCTTGACGAGCTAGTGATACACAAATAAATGAAAGGAGAGAAAAAGAAAGAGAAGAAAATAGGTGTACAGACACACAATCACTGACACACACACACACACACACACAGCGCCTCCTTCTTATTCCTATGCGTTGCCTTCCTACACAACAGGTGTTGCGGATGAAGAACAAGACAAAAACAGACAATACATTTTCCAAAGGCCAAGGTAAATATAAAGATTACGATAATAATTGCCTTGCGTGGATAACCATCATCCCTTATCCCTCCCCCCTCCCCCTCCCCACTCCTCGCTCCTCGCTCCCTCCAATAAATACGTTATTCAAGTCATATACACACGTCTAAACCATCATCAGCGTGGTTTATTTTACGACCCTTTCGTAAGATGTTGACGAATGAGAGGGAGGAAGAGAAGAGAGGCAGAGCGAGAGAGAAAGGAGGGAGACGCAGGAGATGGGAGAGTGAGAGGGCGAAGGGAGAAGGGCGAAGGGAGAAGGGAGAAAGAGAGAAAGAGAGAGAGTGAGAGAGAGAAATAAATAAAAGAAAAGGCCATCAAGAAAGAAACACCAATAACAACGGCCCTTACTAAAAATAGCTAAGTTACCTCTCCCCCTCTTCCTTGATGTCCTCCTTCCCAACCCCTCCAACTGGGCCCCATCCCCCCCTTCCCCCCTTTCCTCACCCTGACACCAACACTTCCTAAGAATGAGTCGTCTTTATTTATGTGACAGTCCTCATCCTACCCCCCAACCCCCCACCCCCACCCCCCGAGCCTCATCCTAATCCCACCAACCTCTCCCCACCTCCTTCCCCCCCACCCTATCTAATCCTACCCTACCCCCCACCCCCACTTTCCCTCCGACCTCTCTCCTATCCCTTCGTCCCGGTTCTCTCTGTTTATACCATTCCTATTCGTTATTCGCCTACCTCCTATACCTCCCATGATGCATATTCTCTGAGATGTTTCAACGAGCAAAGGGCAATGGAACTGGAATTCTAATACTGGAGTAGAGAGATAGAGCAATAAATATGTAGGAAGAAAGGATGGTGGATAAGGATTGAAGAAGGCAGGAGAAAAAAAAGGAGAGAGAGAAACGGGAAGAGAAGATGAAAGGAGAGAGAGAGAAAGAGGAAAGAGAAGATGAAAGGAGAGAGGAAGAAAGAGAGAGAGCCACAGAGAGAGAGAGAGAGGAGAGAGAGAGAGAGAGAGGGACAGAGAGAGAGAGAGAGGGACAGAGAGAGAGAGAGAATCAATTGAAACGAATATCGAGAGGGAGAAAAAAACGACAAACAAGAAAACGAACAGACTAAAACAAGAACGACGAAAGCCAGCGACACCGAAGCCAAAGCACAGAGGTCAGAGAGATTCTATTGATCTCCGATAAATCGTGTTAAATATGCAGTGGACATTCTGAATGCCAGTGGGGACGGGGGTAAGGAGGCAGGGGGGGAGGAAGGGAAGAAGGGTGTGGGGCAGGCGAGGGGAAGAGGGAGGGGCGAGGACTGTCTCCTTGACGAGCTAGTGATACACAAATAAATGAAAGGAGAGAGAGAGAGAGGAGAGAGAGAGAGAGGAGAGAGAGAGAGAGAGGGACAGAGAGAGAGAGAGACAGAGGGAGGGAGGGAGGGAGGGAGGGAGGGAGGGAGGGAGGGAGGGAGGGAGGGAGGGAGGGAGGGAGGGAGGGAGAGGAAGAGAGAGAGAGAGAGGGACAGAGAGAGAGAGAGAGAGAGAGGGACAGAGAGAGAGAGAGAGGGACAGAGAGAGAGAGACAGAGGGAGGGAGGGAGGGAGGGAGAGGAAGAGAGAGAGAGAGAGGGACAGAGAGAGAGAGAGAGGAGAGAGAGAGAGAGAGAGAGAGAGAGACAGAGGGAGGGAGGGAGAGGAAGAGAGAGAGAGAGAAGAGAGAGAGAGAGAGAGAGAGAGAGAGAGAGAGAGAGAGAGAGAGAGAGAGAGAGAGAGAGAGAGAGAGAGAGAATCAATTGAAACGAATATCGAGAGGGAGAAAAAAACGACAAACAAGAAAACGAACAGACTAAAACAAGAACGACGAAAGCCAGCGACACC